TCTACACTGGAATTTGACACAACATTGTAAAATGACTAGAACTCAGTAAAAAAAAAGTTAGAAAAAATAAACAAATAAATAAAATGATTAAAAAAAAAGAATAAAATACTTAGAAACAAACTTAGCCCAGAGGCAAAAAAGACTTGTACACTGAAAACTACAAAACACTGCTGGAAATTAAAGAAGACACCAATAAAATGGAAAGACATCTTGTGTTTCATTGATTAGAAGATAATATTGTTAAGATGTCAATACTACCCAGAGATTTACAGATTTGATGCAATCTCTATCAAAATCCCAATGATATTTTTGCAGAAATATAAAAGTCCATCCTAAAATTCATATGGAATCTCAAGGGACCACAAATAGCCAATACAAACTTACCAAAGAAGAACAAAGTTGAAGGTCTCTCACTTTTGATTTCAAAGCATATTACAAATCTACAGCAATCAAAACAGTGTAGTATTGGCATAAAGACAGATATATAGATCCACAGAATAGAACTGAGTCTAGAAATAATCTCATACATCTGTGGTCAATAAGGATACCAAGACCATTCAGTGGTGGAAGAAATGTCTTTTTAACAAATAATGCTGGAACAACTGGACAGCCACATGTGAAACAATGAAGTCAGACCCTTACCTTAAAACTGTCTATAAAAAATAACTCAAGGTAGGCCAAAGATCAGACCTAAAACTGTAAAACTCTTAGAAGAAAACAAAGGGGGAAAGCTTCATGACATTGAATTTGGCAGTAATTTCTTGGATGTGAGGACGAAAGCATAGACAACCAAAGATAAAATAGACAAATTGAACTACATCAGTGTTAAATGGTTTTGTGCATCAGGACACTTTCAACAGAGTGATAAGGCAACCTACAGAATGGGAGAAAATGTATGCAAATTATATATCTGATGAGTTAATATCCAGACTATATAGAGAATTTCTACAGCTTAACAAACAAACAAACAAAAAACCCAATTAAAAATGGGCAAAGGACTTAGACATTTCTCCAGAAATATACAGATGGCCAAAAAGCACATGAAAAGATTCTCAGCATCACTAATCATAGGAAAATGCAAATCAAAACCACAAGATATCACTTCACACCCATTAGGCTAGCTATTATTAAAACAAACAAACATATGAAGCAAAAACAGGAAGTAACAAATATTGATAAGGATGTGGGGAAATTGGAACCCTTGTACATCGTTGGTGAGAATATAAAATGTTGCAGCCACATTGGAAAACAGTGTGGTGTTTCCTTAAAAAATTAAAAATAGAATTATCATGCTACTAGCAATTTTGCTTCTAAGTATATACCTCAAAGAACTGAAAACAGAGTCTAAAAGAATTATTTGTATACCCATGTTTGTAGCACCATTATTCACAATAGCAAAAGGTGGAAACAACCCAGGTGTACCCTGATGGCTGAATAAATGAACGAAATGTGATACATACATACAACAGATTATTATTCAACCTTTAAAAAGAAGGAAATTCTGACACATGCTACAATATGGATGAATCTCATGGGCATTATGCTAAGTGAAATAAGCCAGGCACATAAGGACAAATACTGTATGATTCCACTTAAATGAGGTACCTAGAGTGATCAAGTTCATAGAGACAGAAAGTGAAACGGTGGTTTCTAGGATATGGAAGAGCAGGAGAAATGGAGAGTATTTGTCTAATGGGTACAGAGTTTGAGTTCTGGAAGATGAAAAGAGTTCTGGAGATAGTGGTGATGGCTGCACAACAATGTGAATGTACATCATGCCACTGAACTCTACACTTAAAAATGGTTAGAATGGCAAATTTTGTTATGTGTATTTACCACATTTTTAAATTAAAATTTAAAAACCTTCAAATATCTGAAAGCAACCATCATGACCACACAAGAGTAATCTCCAGAGTAAACACATCTATTTCCTTCCACTGTTCATCATATGATATGAAGTCCAGCCATACTCCATTCTTGTCACTCTCCTCTGAATGTTCTCTAGCTACCTACAGCTCATTTAATCCATAGGCCATAGACTTCATGACACTGACTAGTTAAGAATGTACAAAGTCTATTACCTCCCTCAGTCTGGTTGCTAGACTATTATTATTGCAGCCAGGGATCCTACTAGTTTATTGTCACATTGTTTATTCCTTTAGCACTAAATGCCCAACTGAAAACCTAAATGCTTTTCTAATATGCCACCACTTAAACTTTTTGTTAGTTAGAACTCTTCAGTGATTAAAAAGAAAAGTAAACACATTTATGCAAACTGACTTAAGCAAAAAAGGAATTTATTGGCATATGTAAATGTTCCAAAAATGGTGCTGGCTTAAGGTATGGCTTCAGGAATTCAAGTGATGTCACCAGGTCTCAATTATTTCCTTCTCTTAGCCCAGCTCTGCTCTTCCTGTGTTGTCTTCATTCTTAGGCTCTCCACCCATATAATATCCCCCCCATAGCTCCTAGGTGCACCAATGGTTAAAAAAAAATGCTTCCTCCCAGAAATCCCAAAATATCCAAAGTATCATTGCCTTTCATGGATTCTGATTGGGCCACATCACTGTACCAATCTCTGTGGCCAGAATAATGCTCGTGCTGAATGGCTTAGCTCTGGGTCACATGATTCTGTCCCTGAGCAGGGATATAGTCAACTCCACTGAATCAGCTTGTGGGCTGAAAGTGGAGAGGAGGTGGTCCCTAGAGAATAACCAGGTTAAAGTCACTAGCAGGGTGAGGAGATGTTGAGGAACAAAAACTACAGGTTCAACCACCCTTCAATTAGTTCAAGTAGTTTATGGAACAAGAGACATTACCCTATGTTTATCCCTATTAAATACAGTCTTATTAGAATCCTTCTAATTATTTGGCAAATTATTTGGGATTCTAATTCTATGAGGCAATGCATTTCTTATTTCTCTCGGCTGTGTATACTCAACAGTGTTATTAATGTGCCTTACAGATTTTATTGCACTCAGTGATGCGGTTATAAACACATTTATGTATGTTATATAAACATGTTGTATAAGATATAAACAGGCTATAAACACAGAGTTCCTTAGCCCACCACCAGGATCTTCCTTCTGAAATGACATCACCAGCATCTTTGGATGTGGTACAACCGGGTACCAAGCCCATCTCTGTCCTTAAGTCTGGGCCCTATTTCTTGTGTCCAAAGATATCATGAGCAATCTTAACAAAACATCTAGGCTCCTGGGAGGGTTTCTAACAGAGTGAATGCTCTATGCAATCTATGAATCCTTTATCTAGCCATCATCAGAGAGACCTTCATCTCTACATGTCCCAGATTTCTAATGCTGTCTAAACATGTGCACACACACACACACACACACGTATAAATGGTAACAGTAGTAGTAGCGAAGTATATACAGAATTTACTACATGCTATGCCCTGTTCTAAAGGCACATAAGATTGAATATTAACTCATTTATTCTTCACAGCAACCTTATGAAATAGGTGGTTGTCATCATCATCATCTCCATTTGAAAGATAAGGATACTAAGGCCCAAAGAGGGTAACTGGCCCAAATTCACACAGCTGGTTAGTACACACCAGTACTTGAACCCCAATGGCGTGGCTCCAGAGTCCTTAAACTTACCACAGAGGTGACATTTGACCTTGACGTCCCTCCCTTCTCACTTCCAGCCCTCAGGCAATGCACAGGTGAGTCATCTTTGAAAACAACACCTGCAGTAACAAATCTCCCATGGATAAATTAGGGAGAAATCACTCACTTTACAAAGCAGTTTGTTGTCATAAGTGAATCATTTTCAGTGACAAGCTTCTCCTGGGGCAGGTTAACTGGTTTAAAAGTCATTAATGACTTCCCAGAAATACTGGGACAGAGAAACCAAGCCAGAGGGTTAGGACCACTGCCAACTAAAGATCAATTAGAACTGTAGACTCTCTGGCATAATGTCTACACTAATAAAAAAACACAATTTTAGAAGCTTTTCTTGCATGCATGTATTTTCCCTGAACCATAGCCATGTGTGGGAGAAATTGTTTAAATAGAACGCCTCGGCACAGCATCTCACAGAGGGTATCCCCATAAACAGAGCTTGTCTCCAAGCCCTTCCAGTGCTCCCCTGGGGTCACTTGACTCACAGTTCTGTTGTCACCTTTGGCAGTACTATTCGTTGGTCCAGTCATGCACAAAGGTATAATAAAGGTGGCTACCAAATTCAAGGGAGTTGCATACAGCTCTGTTTCTTCTGGAAACACCATGTCATGAAATCCCAGATGGTTCAGATGAAGGACTTTTGGTGAAGGGACTACATACAGAGATGAGGCAGGGTTGAAAGGACAATATATTACCGGAGGGAGTCCAGTGAGGGCTGGTTCTGGGGAGGAGGATCCTCTTGGTGGAAGAGAAGCAACTACTGCTAGACCCTGCACTAGGGAAGGCAGGAAGAAATGCCCCCTCTTTCTCTCTTCTATCATTCTCCTGTCAGTGCCTCCCATGGACACTAAGGGGCAGGGGGCCTGGGTGATACAGCTAGCAAGGGTCAGCCCTCAGGGTACAGAGCAGGAGGAAAAAGAGAGTAATCTGAAGGACAGAGAATAAGGAGCACAATATCTCTTTCAAGGGTGGGTAAACTGAGTCATTGAAAGGGAAAGTAACATGTTTCAAATCAAAAAAGGGAAACCCAGAACCAAGATGAGGGCTCCACTTCCCAGTCTGGTCTTACTGATTTCAAGTAGTCTGAATGACTGGAGAGAATCATTAAATCTCAGAGGACATCTAATTCCTCAGGCTCCTTCCCAATATATGGTGACCCTACAACATGGCCCACAGTGGTCAACTTTTCTTCAGAAGTGGTGAAGGTGTGTGTGATCAGGATGACTCAGTCTTCTGCCTGGATTCACCAGAGAGGTTTTCATGAATCACTTGTGTGGGTGATACTTTGGGTGTTGTTATTCTTTCAGTGAATTCTCTCCACACACTAAGTGTGTCTCTATTTGATTCATGAAGGTGATTCATCTGAGGAAGTTGACCTGAACATGGTTTATCAAGCAGCATCTAATGGAGATGTCAATGCTCTGACTGCTGTGATTCGGGAAGACCCTTCCATCCTAGAATGCTGTGACAGTGAAGGTGAGCTATTTGTGCATTTTGAACCCTGCTCTGTCATTTTAGAGATCGCCTCCAGATGTGAGCAATGTTAATAAAATTATATTTGATAGGCCACTTTGATACTGGAGAAACAAGGAGTATCCTGCCTATAGCCATGTATAGGTCCCTTAGTATTTCATTTATTGAGAGTCATGGACACAAATCTTCGAATTCTTTTACATCACTTCTTCTCATAAAGTTGGTTGGTAGAGTTTGTTTTCAGCTTCTTTGTATGAATGACTAAAGTAGATCAGCTAAGTAGATAGAAAGGGGGTATGGAAAGAGGAGGACATTTTTGGTAGCAATGGACATTGGGAAAGTGTGACTATGAAAGCCAGAGAGTGAGGATTTCTGTTTCTAGGAAGATGGAGTAGAAGGAGTACATTTTTATTTATTCCTTTTGCTAAATACAACTAAAAATCCTGAACATTGTATATAAAATAAACATGAGAACACTCCAGAAGGTGGAGAGAAAATGACAGACTAGGTAGGACCTTGGGACCCAAAAAATGACTAAGTGGTAAGTTTCCTGGATTTCCTTCTTGCCTTATAATCCCCAGACTTGGTGCCAAATAAGTCAATAATGCAGACATGCCAATAGACATAGACCAAAAAAGCCCCTAACAAAAGTCTGTTCTCTAGCCAAAGAACCAAGAAAGGGCCACATAGCAAGACAGAAAACTTTGAGACAATAAAGAGTCTATTCCACCAAACATCACTTCAAAAAATGAAGGAAGGCAGGAAGGCAAAGAAAGAAAGAAAGGAAGGAAGAGGAGAGGGAGGGAGGGAGTAAGGAAGAAAAAGGGAGGGAGGGGAGGAGAGGGAAGGGAAGGGAAGGGAAGCAAAAGGAAGGGAAAGAAAAGAAAGAAAAGAAAAAAAAAACTAATGACAACAGCCCCATGCATTCTAGCAAAGACCAAGTGGGGAGACTGGACCTCCACCTCCACCTGGTAATAAGGTCTTCATCTCCCCATCCCCCTACCTGCAAGGGCAGTGTCACAGGAATCCTTTTTGAGAATTAGGACTTTCTCCACCACCCAGTAATGAAGAATCTTCTCTTCTCCTTTGGAGCAGTGTCAAAGAAAGCAGCTAAAACAGAGGGTTTAAGTAAGATTAGGCACCTCATAACACAATACCCCAAATGTCCAAGTTTCAGTAGAAAAATCACTTATCATACCAAGAAACAGGAAGACCTCAAACTGAATGAAAAAAAAAGACAATTAATAGATCCCAACACTGAGAGGAAAAATGTTAGAATTATCTGGCAAAGATTTCAAGTAGCCATGAAAAAAAAATGCTTCAATGAGCAATTATGAACATGCTTGAAACAAATGAAAAAATAGAAAGGCTCAGCAAAGAAATAACAGATATAAAGAAGAACCAAATGGAAAACGTTTAAACTGAAAAATACAATAATTACAATTAAACACTCAAAGGCTAAGCTCAGCAGCAGAATGAGGAGGCAGAGGAAAGGATCAGTAAACTTGAAAACAGAGCAATAGAAGTGAAAGAATCTGAACAACTGAAAGAAAGTAGGCTTGCAAAATGAAGATGAAGAAGGAGAAGACAGAGGAGAAGGAGGAGGAGCAGGAGGGAGAGGAAGAAGAAGCAGCTGCCTCAGGGTGCTACAGGACTGCAACAAAGGATCTATCATTGGTTTCTGTGACCTAGTATTTCTGAGAAATCATTAATGATTTTTAACAGTTGACCTATCCCAAGAGGAGCTTGGGATTCCCTTATCATGACAATAAAATGTTTTGTAAAGTGAGTGGTTGCTCCCTAATTTAGCCATGGTAGTTTTTTGTTTGTTTTTAAAGCAGGCTTACTTGTACATCTGTGTTTGGGCTAGAAGTTGGAAATGAGGAGAGTAAAAGGTTAAACACCACTTGTGTGATAAGTACAAAAGTCAGACTAATTGCACTCAATCCTGGCTTGTACTGACTGACTATGAATGGAAACAAAGATACAACATATCAAAACTTGTGGGATACAGCTAAAGCAGTGCTAAGAGGGAAATGTATAGCACTAAATACATTCATTTAAAAAGAGGAAAAGTATCAATCAGTAATCTAAGTTCTCACCTCAAGAACATAGAAAAAGAAAAGCAAACTAAACCCAAAGCAAACAAAAGATATAATAAAGAGAAGAATAGAAATCAATGAAATTGAAAACAGAAAAAGAAAAATAGAGAAAAATCAATGAAACAAGAAACTAATTCTTTGAAACTGTCAATTAAATTGACAAACCTCTAGCAATGATGAAGAGAAAATGAAAGAAGACACAAATTACAACTATTAGGAATGACTCTGCAGACATCTGAACGATAATAAGAAAATAAAACAACTCTACACTTATAATATGACTAGACAAAATGGATTAATTCCTTCAAAAAAGAGATAAACTCTGCCATAGTTCATCCAATAGGAAACGGATTATTTGAATAATGCTATAACTATTAACAAAATTAAATTCATAATTTAAAAATTCCCAGAAATAGGCATCATCAGGCCTAGATGATTTTACTGGAGACTCCTACAAATTCTTAAATAATTATTAATATCAATTCTACATAATTTTTCAGACAAGATAAAAGGAGGAAACTTCTCAGTTACATTTATGAAGCTACTATTACTCTGATATCAAAACCTGACAAAAAATGATATGAAAAATAAACCCACAGACCAATATTCCCCATGAACATAGATACAGAAATCCTTAGCAAAATATTAGCAAATAGAGTTCAGTAATATGTAAAAAGGATTATATACCATGACCAAGTTGTTTTTTCCCTAGAAATGTTCTGTCTGGTTCAATATTTGAAAATCAATCAGTATAATCCATCATATTAACCAGCTACAGAAGAAAAATTATGCGATCATATCAATTGATGCAGAAAAAGCATTTGACAAAATTTAACACATGTTCATGATTAAAAACTCACAGAAAAATAGGAATAAAGGGGGAACTTACTCAATTTGATTAAGAGTATCTACATTCCCAGCACCACCACTTAAGAACTAAAGAAATAAACCTGATCACCTCCCCCCACCAAAAAAATAAAAAATATTACTTTACATTCATTGAAAGAAAGATTTTTTTTAAAGAGTATCTACAAAAAACCCTAGAGCTAACATTTTACTTACTGGTGAAAGCCTGAGTGCTTTGCCCCTAAAATCAGGAACAGAACAAAGATGTCTACTCTCTCTCATATTCATCATAATGCTGGAACTTCCAGCCAGTGCAAAAAGGCAAGAAAAGGAAATAAAAAGCATACATACTGAAAAGGAAAAAACAAAACTGTTCCTTCTTTGCACAGCTTGGTTGTCTATGTAGAAAGTCCTAAGGAACCTACTAAAAGAAAAAAACTTCCAATACCTGGTAAATCCAGCAAGGTCACAGGGTACAAGATCAATACACAAAAACAAATTTATTTCTATATACTAGAATTGAGCATGTGGACACCAAAATTAAAACCATGATACCAATTAAAATCACTCAATAAAGTATATTTAAGTGTGAATAAAACAAAACATGTACAAGACTTGTGTACTGAAACTGTAAAATGCTGATGAAAGAAATCAAGGATCTAAATACATGGAGAGATGTACCATGTTCATGGATTAGAAGATTCAAGGTGGTAAACATGCAGTGCTCCCCAAATTCATATACAGGTTTCATGCAATTTCTGTCAAACCCCAGCAAGATTTTTTTATAGATTATCTAAAAGATTATACAAGATTATCTGAAATTTGTATAGAAGGTAACTAGGAGAAACTAGAATAGATAAAACAATTTTAAGAAAGAAGAAATAAGTGGGAGGAATCAGTCTACTCAATTTCAAGACTTATTATATAGCTACAGAAATCAAGACTGTGTATTGGGTGAGGGATGGACACATAGATCAATGGAAAAGAACAGAAAACCCAGAAATAGACTCACACAAATATGCTCAACTGACCTTTGACAAAGGTCCAAATGTAATTCAGTGAAAGAAAGCCTTTTCAACAAATGATGCTGGAGCAATTCAACACCCATAAGCAAAAAATAAAATAAGGAAATAGATAAAGAGAAGAAAGAAGGGAGCGAGGAAGGGAGGATAGAAGGAAGGAAAGGATGGAGGGACCCAAGGAAGGAGGAATGGAGAGGAAGTAGGGAGAGAGAGAGAGAGAGAAAAGAGAGAAGAGAAAGGAGAAAGAAAAGAGGAGAGAGGAAGGAGAGAGAGAGAAGGAAGGAAGTTTTGCCACTATTTAAGACATAGCAGTTCTTTGTTGATTTTACCCAGTACAGGTGCTTGAAAGAGTATTAAAAAGGAGAGATACGGAGAAAAACTGGGTTGCAGGCTGCAATCTTTTGGTAAGAACAGCAGTCCTAGAATTTATCCATTCTCAGGGATCTCTGAGGTCATAGTTTGCAGTTCACCTGGAAACAAATCACAACATCTATGTGAATCTACAATCAAAAGGCATCTAAACAAGTCTCAGCTGGGCAAGGGACTGTGTCTGACGTTGTTTTCTTCACCTGGAGGAGTATGAAGTACCTGGGTTCTGCCTCACCAGCCTGGCTTGTTCTAACAGCCCTGCAAAGTCAATCAGAATGTGTGATTTCATCTGTGTTTTTATTCAGGAAGAAAACACATGAAAAACCAAATGCTTGGCCTATAGTGATTCTAAAAACAAAGAAGTATTTCAGTTAAGATGGCCCCTTTTAGCAAGAATTTGTGCAACACAGGGTTAGTCTACCATCACTGCCCTATATCACTTACCACCTCCAATAAAAGTGTGCTGCGCCTGTCTGCCTGGCTGAAGTGCTTTCCAAAGACACCTCCAGATTCTGCATTGTTCAAACCAAGTCAGGATAAACCTACCTGTTACGTCCCAAATTGTGCTGATTCCCAAGGTAGTAATAAGCAAATTTTATCATCTGCACAAAATGTCCTAATCAACCAATTACTGAAAAATTATAAAAGATTTAATAGGGCCAGAAAAATACATAGTTTATATAAATGTAGCAACAATCATCATCTCTCTTCAGCTCAACAGCTGGGTTTGTGTTGAGGGTTGTTCATTTATCTGCAAAGAGCATAATAAATAAAAAGGCAAAGTCCGTTCATAAATTTCACAAATCAAACATTTTTAAAGGCTGTTGAAATGTCTCATTCCAGGATGTACACCCTTAATGCATGCAGTTTCTGGACGTCAAGTGGACACAGTGAAGCTGCTGTTGAAGATGGGAGCAAATATTAACATGCAGGACGCTTATGGCCGCACAAGTCTCTGCCTGGCAACCTATCTGGTACTGACTGCGTCTGTGGCGGCATTAAGGAGTGGAGTGGACTAAATGTGTCATTGTGGGGCCCCACTTGCAGAAGAGTGTTCTTGGATTTATGCAGCTGGCCAGTAGAAACAGAACTTGAAACCTTTGCTTTGATCATCTCCAACATTTATATACCACTTAGAGTTGGTTTCATGCATTTAAGTCATTTTGATTTTCCTAACAATCCTCTAAGTTAGAGGTGATACCAGCATTAGAGAAATATTCTTTTCCATCTTAACTGCATCATAATTTCCCCTGAGGCATTTCCAGACACACTTGGTACTCACTTCTAAGAATGCCCTCCATTAAGTGCCCTTCATTGAAAGAAAGCAAGCTTCGTTTCACTCTATTCTGTATGCTAGTGGCAGTTAACTTTAGAAACCATCTGAGTGGGGATTAGCATTTGAAGCTGCAGTTTACCTCTCTGGGGTAGGACTAGTTCAGTAGAGGCTGAAGGATAAGCAAAGTGAGAACAATGAGAACTGGGAAGAGTGGTAGGTAGGGAGTAGGGGAGAAAGACCAGACTCTTCAGGGACAACACCATTCATAGGATTCAACCCACAATCAGTGTTCAAATTAAAAATTGTATAGAGCCAGTCCTCAGTGCAGGAGATTTCAGTCTAGCATTTCCCAACTTTAGCTCAAGCTTGATACAGCCTTACTGAAAAACTTCAAGCCTGTCTCCTCTCAAATCTTCCCTGTAATCTTTCTGGGAGATCCCAGCGCTATCTTGAGTCCATGTCAAACAAGTCCTCCTTGGTGCCATGTGAGGGTCATCACTCTCTCTCCTCTCCCAACACAGCTCCTGGAAATCTTCATCAGAAACTACTGTTGCTGCACTGATGCAGCTTCTTGCATTTGCTGTCGCTGCCCATTGACAGTGGTGAATTAGCCCATGGTATCCTGAAGCTGCCCTGGCCAAATGGAACACTCTCTTCCCCAAATACCCACCTACGTGCCACAATCTAGCGTAACTTGCAGTGAAGCATTGCCCAGTTCTCACAGAGATTTTTCTTTAGAAACTAGCCTTTGATTTCTTATTTGCATGCCCTCTTTCTCTAGGACTCACACATGAAACTGGGAAGAATTTTTCAAAGTGTTGGAGTGCTTGTTTCAAATGTGGGTTCCTGGATTACACCATAGACCTTCTGAGTCAGACACTCTGGGAGCAGGACGGGGTTGTGGGTGGAGGGAAGTACCTGTATGTTAAACAAACTTCCCAGGCAATTTTTATGCTGTTCAAGTTTGAAAAACACTGGTCTGTGAACACTAGGTGAAGTCCAGTATCTCAGACATACCTGTAACTGCCCTCCCAGCCCCCCTCCCTTCTAGCACATGCCCTAACAACTGCTCTAGCTATGGAGATTTCTGGTGTCTGAGCTGAGTTGAAAAGAGGAAATTTGGATCAGGGGATGCAGGAAGGGATTAGAGATGGTTTCTAAAGTTAACTGCCACTAGCATACAGAATAGAGTGAAACAAGCTAGCTTTCTTTCAAAATTCTAAAATTCAAAATTTCAGATTTCTTGGGCTGGAGAGCCACTTAAGAACTGGGAAGAAGTCCTCCTCTAGTTCAGAGCGAACAGTGAGCCTAGCGAGGTGCCACCGTTGCAGAGAACTCTTTCTAGGAATGCATTCTAAAGAGCTGCATGGGGAAGTTTGCCTGCATGACAGCATGTGGCACTATCCTCTTAATGTTGACCTCACCTCAGTTTGGACCCCCAAGGCAGGGCTCTTCGCTGGCTCTCCTGAGGCTCCCTGGGAAGGATGGGGGTAGGTGGTGTGCTATTGATGGCACTGTGAAGTCCACCACTCCCTCTGGCAGTGTTTGAATTCAAGTATTAAAGGGCAGCTTGGCAAAGGGGGCACTTAGAAATTGGATCAGTCACAGCTTCAAACTCACTGTACAAATAAACTTACCATAGATGCATGACCTTAGCCAAATTTCCTCACCTCTTTGTGCCTCTTTCCTCATTTGTAAAATGTAGTAAAAATAATACCCTAAGTTTATCACAAGTGAAGGAGAAACATATGCAGAATCACCCAGCACATAGTAGGTAAAAGACGTATTTGTTAGTTCTGAATAGTGACCATGGGTTTCAGATGTATTAGGTGGCTTTCTGATTTCTTTTCTGAAGAAAAGAAAAGAAAAAAAAAAACCCATGCACGCATAGTTCCAGGAAATGTTGCAAAATGATAAAAATGTTTCAAACCCTCCCCCATCAGAAGATTTGTTTTTCAAAAACTAAACCTTAGGCAACTCTAAAATTTGGCAACTCTGAAATTTGTCCAGCATTCCTTTCTTTTGGGTCTTCTAGTCATACTTTTCCCTTTTAATCAGAGAAATTGATGACATAGACATTAGGAACTAAAACTAGATTTAATACATTGGTAAACTATGACTCAAGGTTGAAATTATTTGCTTCTACTTAAAACTTAAATATTATTGGTCAGTTCTACAAAGCCATATTCAATCAAACCTATGAATTTTGATGTGCTTTTGTTGGAAAAAATTTTTTCTAGACTTTTCAGAACCAAAATTTCTTTCTTATCATCTCTCTTTTTCTTCCATGCATTTAGTAACATTTTTATTTTTGCTTCCAATATTGTGAGGGAAAATCTTCAGTCATCTTTCTCTTAACATTGGGTAATCTTGAGACTTAACTATATAGGAATAGAAGAAGGCAGGACAAAAATAGAGAGTTATTGTCTTATTCTTCATAATAATAGCTTCATTTACTTAAAAGCCTGTTTATAATTGGGTGAGTAACCCAAGTGATTCTGGATGAATTTAGGAGACATTCTCCTTGTCATGTGAGCCAAACTCAGTCATCAGCAAGTTGGGTCAGATGATGAACAGAATGGGAGAACTAGCCTGCAATTATATTTGCCCTTTGAAATAAGGAGAGACGTGGCCCAGCTGTGCTGACCAAGGAAGGGACAAGGATGAGATGTAGCAATATCAGGTCTCAATCTGGGTAATTGGTAGACAGCAGGGGGTTCTCAGGAAGTTACTTGAGGAATTCATAGGTGGGTAAAGCACAATAATGGGGAACCCTGAGGGGGTGCTGGTGATGCCCCCAGATTCAGCAGGAAAAAATCACCAGAGTAGCTGAGTCTCAGCCACGGGAGTAGGTGGCGCTCAGCATAGAATTCTAGGTGTCAGAAGAGGGACTGACTAGTTACTAGAAAGGGAACTTGGAAAAGAGGACAAAGGGCTGTTTATCAGCTATAGATAGACTGAGGCATCGAGTGGAGGCTGGGACTCAAGAATGACGCAGGAGCACAGTTTTGGAACTGGACCATGACATCCAGGTGAGACCATTGACAAGCATGATTAGGAGCTAAGCCCACAGAATGAGAGGCTAGAGCTGAGTAATCACCCCATCACATGCCACATTTTGCTCTAGGAACTGAGTATAAAAAGTGGAGTACACGCGAGTGGCCCTAGAAATGGGGAGGTGCAGGTAGAAGAAAGAGTCTAGGAATCAATCTGCATCTGACAGGGTGAAGTTCCTCCACAAAACTCAGGCATCCATACCTCAAGACTTTCAGCCCTCTGTTGTGTAAATTCGAGTTATAGTCCTTAACCACTTTAGGTCAATAGAACATGTTTTTAGCCAAACCAAAGAAGAAAGGGAAAGAAAATTGGAGAAGGTTTGTTGGATTGTGTTATGCAAGATTGTGTTATATAATGATGCTCTTGCTCTTCCAGGGTTGGCTGGAAGGTTGTGTGAGTCTACTCAGAAATGGTGCCAAGCACAATATCCCAGATAAAAATGGCCGTCTGCCACTGCATGCTGCCACCGCTGAGCCTGATGTGAGGTGAGTAGCCAGGTTCACACGACGCCCAAGTTGGGAAGCACCCAACTTGGATTAGAAGATCATCTAATCCAACCCTCTGTGGCGAATAAAAACAAAATCCATCCCATTTTTGGGGGGTAGGGGAATTGTAGCAGACAGGACTACACCTCAGTGAATCAAAATATCCTGGAATAATCTCAGTGCTAAACTCAGTCCCCTCCTACTTCAATAAAACCTTTTTCTTCTAGTCTCTGATTTAAGAAAACATGTTGTTCATCATCATCTGAATTCATATATTCATTCATTAAATTAGTCAGTTATTAATTCAATAACTATTTACTGAGTGCTTATTATGATCCAACCACTGTTCTAGGCCCTTGCAGTTCCACAGGGAGCAAGACAGCATCTCTGACCTCGCAGTGACTTAAGTGGCACACTAGTAAACAAATAAATAGTGTTATCTCAAATAGTGCTATGAAGGAAACCAAACAGGGTAACAGAGCACTAGCTGGGCAGAAAGGTTAATGTCTGAACTCAGAGTCATGCCAACGTTTATGGGCTGGAAGGAAGCAAAAACCCAGCAAAGGAGACTGAGACAGGAGACCAGTGGGTTAGAAGGAAATCTAGGAATGTATGCTGCTGGAAACCATGTGAAGGAATGTCCTCAAATAAGCTAGATGATCGAGAAGGTCACATTTATGTAAGAAGTTGAGCGACGAAGGAAAAAGTTTTGCCCAGACCAAGTGTAGTTACCCCAGTCCACTGTACTACATGGCTTGGATCGCCAGTCTTTTGAAAGTCCCTCCTAGCAGCTTGATCACAGCATTTCCCACTGTGGAATCAGCAACATTCTGGGCACTTCTTGAACCTCTGCTGACAGAACAGGCCTCTGGCAGGAATTTCTCGTTTCCCAGAGCTAGGCTACAGGCCAGCACCACAGGGGGTGTGTTCTTCTGCGCCTCCTCCTTACCCTGTGTCCAGAAACTAAAACTGAAGCCCTGTGGGGGTTGAGGAGACCAAGGCGCCTTCCAGATTGAGAGGTAACATGATTTCTTGATTTCAGTCTGTTTTACACTAAAGTAAAAGGACTTGGGAAATTCCAGGACTATTCCCAACCAAGCCTTGCCTCTGTTATCATTGGATTATATCCAGGAATAATAGAAAACTAGGGTTTACTCAAAGCCCAACAAAACAAGGAAGTTTAGAGAAGAAACAGAAAGCCCTGAGCTAACAATCAGTAGACATCATAAAAAGATGACTACCTTTTGATGAAAACAGAGTGACTTCTAGACAACCCACAAAAATATTTAGTCACAAAATCACACTGTTTTCCCAAGAGTAATCTTCAGAAAATACATTTTAAATGTACCTTTAAGACTATTCTGCCTTGATTTACTCTACTTAGTTGCTTTTTACCTGCTTTGTTCAGAGTAGTCATTTTGAAATCTACCTGATTCTGAAAGATGAACACTTGCTTTAGTTACTGTAATTACAGCTGTTGTAACAAATCAAATCCAAAGTTGCAGTATTTTAACATAATAAAATTTAATCCAATGTAGATGTTCCTGGTTGGGGGTTGGCTTCCCTCCACAGGTGACTCAGAGAGGACCAAGCTGCTTCCATCTTGTGGCTTCCTCTTCCCCTTGGATCGCAGAATCCTTTGTTCAGCCTGCAGATGGGATGACAGGAGTATAGACAAGCCTCACTTATTTCTTTAAAATCTCAGCCTACAAATGACACAACTCACTTCTGCTCACATTCCTTTAGTAAGGATGGGTGATTTGGCAATAAGTAGTGCTGGGGAATATAGTCCCTGACAAAGAATCTGCCTCCCTGCAATGACTCCAATCCAAGAAAGGAGGGCATAAACTTTGGTGAAACGCTCTCTCTGCCGTTAAGCCATTGCACCCTGGCATGAACCAAGCCTCGGCAGCTGGAATCACATTCGAGTTCAGTTTGGTCACTAGATTGGGCTCATCATCTGAAGTCACTGCACTAATAAATTAAAAACCAATCCAAGCCCACTTCATCTTTTGTGGACTTGTTAGTCTATTTCTTCTTATGCCCAGCAGTGCCCCTAGACTCTCTAGGATCTGCATTACATCACTAGAACTGAGAGAACACTGAGCTGTGGCTTCCCCTTCTCTTGAAATTGTACCAAATGACCCAGCTACCACCTTTGGAAGAGCTGAAGCCAGAAAAATAAACATCCTCTGTGTGCTGATGATACAGTTTTATTATCCTAAATGGACAGTTAGCTGACTCTGGAAGATAAAATCCTTCTTTAGTTATGGTAATGCTAGCTGCTATAACTAGTAAAACCCAAGATTAAAGTTTACTTCAAGACCAAAATTAGCATTTCTGGTAAATGTTCTCCAAAAATGAGTTGGGTTAAACCTTAACAACCCATAGAGCAAAATCAACTGGTTTTTCTACCTAGAGAACATTTCAAAACTAGCTTAACTGAAAGGACTCCTTATGGAATTACGTTGCTTAAAATAAGGTATTTTATCATTGTTTATTGAGAAATTTTATGGCCGTGGCAGAATTTGATAACATCTATGTTAAATGCTTCAAGCCGAAACTAACAGAGCCAGAGATGTTGGGCTTTGACTACCCATTTGTTTGTGTGTCATCATGAACTCAGAATCATTTTCTGAGAAAAAAAATCTTAGTCTGTTTTATGGGCACCTCCTAATTCTAGAATCATAATGCAGAAGGAAGTAACCTCCCATTAGGCGATGCAAACCTGCTTGACTGTTTAATTTTCCTAAGTGGACACAACTTTAGGCCAGCTTGTCTGACCATTAAACATATAGGTCTGTAATTACAACACGGATGATGATGACAAACATCACAGATTATTTACCACATTCTTAGCAAAGTTCTGAGTGTTTTCCATGTACTGTCTTGTCTAACCTTTACCACACCTTTATGCGGTAAGTAATATTTCTGTCCCCATTTTATAGATGAGAAAACTGAGGCATCAAAAAGATCACTAATTGTCTGCTGCCTGTGTAAGGATAAGTAACCTGCCCAAAGGGTCTGCTGTGCTCCTGGAGTCCACTGTTGTGGACCCTGTAAAATTTATTCTAAAGATCACATTTTGTCATTAAGCCCTTGGTCTACACTGAGAGACCTTATAAGGAACAGCCTTGAAGAAGTCCTTATTGTCTCATTGTCAGGAAATATTTTGTTCATTATAGTATCTAAAAATATCTACTAAAATCGATATTTAGTAGATAAAATAGTAGAAAAATATCTACTAAAGGAAGAATTCCTACGCTTCTCCTAATAAATTTCTTTTTATTTTTATTATGTGACTACTATGAGTATGATCATGTTTCTCTGCTTGTATATTTAGAAAACTCAGAGCCCAAATTGTGTCTCACCTCTGACACAAACATAGGACCATAATTACACGTTCTTTATCCTGCCCTCATTTTCCCTTTGCCTAGTTTTTTCACTTGTGATCTTGTTTTACTATACGTATCCGAAAAACCACCTAAAATCCTTTTTTGGATTGAGGAAAAGGGTGGCCAGGAGTGCTACCTCAGGAGTTGGACTGACTAAGTTTGAATTTGGCTCCATTGCTTACAGACCATATTATCTTGGGCAAGTTAACACGTCAAGGTTTAGTTAGCTTTCTCTTCTAGAAAGTAGGAATATTACAGTACTTACCTCATAGGAAAATAGGTGGAAGTAAATGAGAAAATGTGTGGAAAGCACTGAACACTGTTAATCGTCAGTGTTCAGTAAGTGTTAGTGATGATGATGATAATGATGGTGATGATGGTGGAAGATAGAAATAATGAAGTACCATAGATCACCACTGAAGAATGAAACCCTGCTACTGCCACGCACCAGCTCTCACCAGGGCCTTCTTCACCTTAGCACACACAGGTCCACAAGAAATATATCCATACACACAGGTGCATGCACACATTGCTGCACCCACTGACACGTGCACACATTTACTGCAAAGATCCTCAGGGTATGAACATTGCTCCTATTTGTATTGACCTTGGGATGTAGCACATTGCAAATTTTAGAAGCCAATGACCATCAGACTCAACCATTCAGCTCCCCTGAAACTCCCTTCCCTACCTCTGTCAGTGCAAACATCTGTATTTTTCCTCTAATCATAAGGATGTGTACCAGTCACACTGTGGCCTTGTACTCAGGTATTCATACTCCTTTTAAAATCCACTAATCCTTAGACTTCTGAACAGCACACTCTTCCACTCGGTGCTCACTGGAGGCTATTGACAGCGAAGTCTCAAACTAAAGCTGCTTGTGAACAGGCCAAGAGGGCCCTTCAGTTAGCCCTTTGCCTCCAGAGAGATTTTGGTCCTCTGATGAATACAACTCACTAGCAAACCAACTGGTGCCGATATACAGCCTGTGCTAAGCTACAGTTCACTGGGGATCTAAGCACTGCAGGGATAAGGGACCTATAGTTAAGAACATGAAGGCAAGTTCAATGGACAAAAGCAAAGGAGCCCAGGTTTCATCTCACAAGTCCCCTTCCTGCTTTGAACACTGCTTCTCAGCAGGTCTGAGTTTTCTCCCTTTCAGTTCCCCATGGCTTTTCTTGCTTCCTTGGCTGGGACATTCAGAGGGCGCCCGTCTGAAAGAGGGGGCATGGTCATTAAGACAGAGCTCCAAAGAGCACGGAGTTGTGTTTGTACAACGCTGTGCATGCTGGAGTTGGAAGGCAAGCAGCAGTTTCCTCTGAAAGCAGCCACAGGGCTCTCTGAAGGTCTTTTTCAGGGTCTCCATGGTTACCAGCAGATTTTTTTTTTCCTGCCAGAGCCCCAGCAGCTCTGCCTCTTTTCATTGCTCTTAACTATAGCCAGAGGGAAGAAGGAAATCATTTCTTTGGGGTCCTGTTCTCTTGTTTCAAACTGATGCATTCTAACCTGCAGTGGATGTTTCACTGCAGCCTGCTCTTACCTCCAGACAGCTTCAAGGACCGGAGAGCAGATGGCTGGCTTGGGGACCCTTTTCCCACCCATCCCTGGGCTGGGCCAGTTCCAGGGCTGTGAACCCAAGAGGCCAGCAAAACAGAGAAAGTCAAAGAGACAAACTGCACTCCACCCCCGGCCCACAGTATACGTCTAACTGATCTCTTTCTGGCCCACCAATTGCCTAATGGCAATCTGGGGACCCCAAAATATAAAGAGTCGGAGCTTTTAAAAATTATTTATTATATAGAACTTTCAGTATGTAAAGTCCATTCTAAGTGCTTTATATGCATTGAAAGTTTAAAGTTACAACAAATTTTTAAGAAATGGGTATTATCATCTCTGCTTTACAGATAAGAAAATATAGGCACTGAGAGTTTCATAACTTGCCGAGGTCACTGGCTGATTGGTGAGGGAGCTGAGGTTCTAACAGAGGCAGTCTGGCCCCAGATTATGTGCTCTTATCACTCACCATGCTGCCTGTCTGGGAAGGCTCCTGCTGGGGGTCCATGCCTGCTGTCCTGGCAGCAGGAGATCTGCGAGCAGGACAGAGTTTCAGCTGGTGCTAATAGGAGACTGGGCTGGGGTATGTGGGAGAAATACTCCTGGGCCACCTCCGCACAAAACAGGAGCTCTGAGAAAACAAAACTAAGAGGTCTGCAAGTCCGCTGGTAATTCAGACCAATGTGGGACAGGCATCTTGCAGATTACCACTGAACCATGGAACAGTATGGAAGCGCCAGGCTGGACCACCAAGACAATGTGGGATACCCTTGGCAAGCAATGTACTGCATCAAGTCATTTGCTCTCATAAAGTGGGAGGGGGGGAGGGAGAGAAGAAATACTTATGTGTAAATTTGTAACCAACTTTGAAGATGAGTGAGTCATAGAGACTTAGGAATCAAATGGAGGCAAGCAGTGTAGATTAGCATATATCATTGAGGGTCATGACAGAGAAGACATGAAATAGTAAAAGAGGTAACTAAGAAAGTTTGTTGAAAGACTATTTGAAATTAAACAACAAGAGATGGTGAAAACTCCCCATCCCCACCCCCCCCCCCAAAATCAGGAAAAAGTTCTACATTTAGGAGAGAAGGGGCAAGGAAGGAAGCTGTTACTGGAACCTGCGGAGAGCAAGGCTCTAGCTGTAGTTGTAGCTGTAGGAGAGGGGCCACCTGGCAGGAGCCAAGGCCTTTAGTAAAGGAAAAAAGTCCCTGTTGAAAAGGGAAGTGACCTCTTTCCTTCCTCCTGCCAGTTCTCCCACTGACCAAACCCAATGGGAAGTCAAAGGGCAGGGGACTTGGATGATAAACTTGTTGGAGGCCAGCCTTCAGAGTGGGACCCTGCAGAGCAAAGAATGGATTTGAGAGGCAAGTAGAGAAATATCCAGCATAGGGCTCATCATATGACATTTGGAGGCTCACCCAGGATGTGAGAAGAGGTCTTACTCTCCTCACCCCCATTCTCATCTGATCAGAGCCAACTTCTCTCAATGTGATCACTCTGCTCTGGAGCAGCCCCAGAAGATTCTGTCTGGCTGCAGATGACCTCAGCCTGCTCAGGGTTAGCCGAGGATAACAAGATTGGACCACAACTGACCTCTTGAGTTTCCCTCCCACTCTCCCTCCCCCAGCACTTCAGACCAAATGTGCCCTTGAGATTAGACAATGGCCATTAATGAGAGAGAGAAAGAGAGAGGGAGGGGAGGGAAGAAAGATAATCACCAGTTACCTTCTGCTCATAAAACAGCTATATGGGAAAATACAAAAAAACTGTTAACCAAAATTCTGTTATTTTTATAGCATTTTCCCACCAGATGGAGGAATTCTAGAATTCAGAAATGACAGAAGAGATGTACTGTTTGCAGCCATAGCCTCTGTTCCTTTAAAGTCTGTAAACTAGGAGCTTTACACCTGTTATGTTATTTAATCCTCACCACTCCGCTGTTACTATCCTTGTTACAGAAGTGAGGATACAGAAGCTCACAGAGGTCATGCAGTGGTGAGGCCAGAGTTAAATCACAGCCTTATCCTGGCTGCCCCAAAAGACAGTGATGAGACTTGATTTAAACCCTGGGCTTCCTGGTTACATCACCTCCACTGAAGAGGTCCGTCCCCATTTAAGTTCTCCTTATAGCACTATGTAACAAGAGCACTCTTCCTTTTCGTCTGTTGTGGGTAGCAGTTTAATACTTAGGACTTTAAATGTCATCTAAGCTGAGAGACAGTGAAAATCTGATTTGGGAGGAGGCTAAACCATTTCGTTTTTCAAATAGTTCTTCCAAAATAATTTCTGAATTTCCTCCATTGTCTTCCTTTCCTTTACCATCCTGATGAGAATATTAGTTTGCTGGGGCGACCATAACAGAATAGCATGGGCTGGGAGGCTTAAACAACAGAAATTTATTTTTTCACAGTTCTGAAGACTGGACATCCAACATCAAGGAGCCAGCAGGGCTGGTTTCCTCTGAGGCCTCTCTCCTTGGCTTGCAGACGGCCACCGTCTCGCTGCTTCTTCACGTGGTCTTTCTACTGTGAGCACATGCCTCTGGGGTCTGTGTGTCCTAATCGCCCCTTCTTAAGAGAACAAGAGTCAAACTGGATTAAAGCCCACCCTAGTCCTTTAACTAATTACTTCTTTAAAGGCTCTATCTCCAATTACAGTCACATTATGAGGCACTTGTGGGGTTGGTTAGAGCTTCAACATACGAATTTGTGGGGGACGCAGTTCTGTCTATAACAATGAGTATCCATTGATTAACTCACTCAAACCTTTCTCGGTGGTTCCCAAATCTGATTATTGACCAGAATTTCTTGAACTGCTTATTTAAACTGTAGAAGTTGGGCCTCTCTCCAGAACCAGAGTCAGAAACTCTGAATATAGAGCCCAGGTATTTGTGGTTTTAAAAAAAATCTCCCCAGGGAATTCTGAGGTGGAGCCAGGGTAAAACTTCTAGGGTTAAGTATTCTAGAAATAACACTTACTGTGTTCCAGGTATGCTGTAAATGCTGTATGCATATTAGCTCATTTAATCCTCACACTGAGCTATGAGGTAGGCACTTTTTATTACCCCCATTTTACAGATGAGGACACATAGGCACAGAGAAGTTAAGCCAGTTGCCTGCAGTCACAGAGCTGGTCAGCGGCTGGACTGGGATGTGAATCCAAGCAGTCTCACGGCAGAGTCCTGGCTCCTAACAGTACATTCACCTCTTCTCTCCCATGGATGGAGTGTTGACCTCAGTCAACCAAGTGTGGGGCCCAAGGAGGGGATAAGAACTTGAACATGAAAATCATTGACAGTTGTTTCACACTAATTACTATCATTTCATGCTTAGATATGTGTGTGTTTTAGAAAGAGTAAGCAACGTTGTAAAAGCTGATTACCTCCTGGTATAACCTACACATTTAGAAGGCATGACACATGTACCCAGTGGTGAAGCAATTTGAAAGCACTCTATAAATTTATATAAAATGAATAAAGAATAAGCACTGAAGGACTTTGCTTCTTAAAGTGAACACAAAGGGACACAGATCTGGTGAATAAGATAAGCCTGAGGATTCACTTTCTCCATTCCCCTTGGCGCCTCCAGAACACTAAGACAGGTGGCCTCCTTGCCTGTAGCACTGGCTTCTTTTCCATGGATCTTTTCCTAGATAAATGCAAAGGGCTTATCTTCATTTGGAGGCTTTCAACAGACTGTATTTCTCATGTCATGTTCTCATACAGATTCTATTCTTTTGAGCCACTTCCCCTGTTTTTTCATTACAGGCTCCTGACAGTCCTGGTGCAACAGTCAGACCTGAGCGAGATTAATCACCAGGACAATGAGGTAAGCCTGCCTCTCAAGGAATGGGTGGCCATTGCACATGTGAGGGTGGGAAGAAGGGCTTTTCTGAACCACAAGGATAGGGAGGGAGCAGTTTTGTGCTCCCACGCTGAGAGGGAAGCCTGCATCTCCACTATTAATCCTCAGGCAGAAATTTATCCCACTGTGGGTGTGGGTAGCTTTTAATAGGGAAGGATTTATTGCATTAAGTACTTAAGCATTTATCATACCACTGAAATTTTGTAATTTCCCTTTGGACATTGAGAAATAAATATTGCTCCTTCCTGTCTTCTTGGGAACCAGAAACTTCCATGGCTGCTGATGCTCCCGCTTTGAGTGAAAGATGACAGAGATGATAATTCTAGGCTCCCTGCTCCAGAAGCCACATTATTAAAGCCAATGATCACAACTGCTGTTTCCTTTATGTTGCAAAGACAATCCTGCACGTTTCCAAGAAGACAGCACAGCTCTGTTGAACAAATTTCCTGAGGGAGAGTGGATCAGACCAGGCAGAGCAGCCCCAGAGTAGCTTAGGGTCTTGTGTCTATTTCACTGTTTTAAAAACCAGGTCTGATTTTCATTAGCCAGCCTGATTTCTTTAATAAGCTTCTTACAACTGATTTAAATACCTGGTTTTTAATGGAATTTTGTATAAATGTGAACTTGGTTTGGCTATACTTCACTAAGAATATCCTAGGCCATTCTGATAGCATTGAAAATGCATATGCCTCAAAATGCCAAATAACACTGTTTTCAAGGAGATCAGCTGGCCATAGACAACAAAGTGAGAGGAAGCCCCCTAACCAGAGCTGGGCCCCCTCCCCCATCTTTCTCCTGGGCTGGGACCTTCATGTTTCTTGAGTCTCCTGATCAAAAGTCCTCCTTCCAACGAGCTTGGCATTAATGACCACACCAAAAAGTGCCTACTTCACAGCCTGGGTCAGATGTTGGACACCTCCCTGACTCGGTGGTTACACGCTGCTTTCACTCCCCACACCTTCAGTGGTTTAAAGCAAAACCCCAGATGAGAGAATACTGTACTGTTTTAAACTTCTGCTTTAAAAATGAGAACCAGAGATGAGAAAGCACACACTGATCACTCAGCCCATAGTGTGAAAGCAGGGAACTTGGAGGCTTACAATTGATCCTGTCAGCTGATCATGAACTTCTAGACTTTGGGCAGCTTGCTAACCACTTCTTCCACCTCCAACTCCTGCCGTCACCCCTCAAACTGGAACTTACAAGAAAGGGGGCAAATTCAGTCATTCATACCCTGAAGCTGAATTCCCCTTACAGACATTCAACTCTGTCCACCCCTCAGCGGAATGAACATCCCCCAGCAAAATGATTCCCTGTTTTTCCCCACCCTGGGAGGCCCCTGGTTGGTGGAGACAATGAAAGTAGACAAAAGCCTTTCTTGCAGTGAGAACTATAATACTTTTTGGATAATATGTGGTAAATATTAGAAAAGTCTCTGGTTCCTTCTCATGCAAAGGAAATTCTTCCTGCTCTTACACCAGCATTCTGACCTGTTAGCTTTTTTGAGCAGGAGCCTCAAAAAGGACACTTCCTCCCAGTGTCGCAGCTCCCTATTCGCACTATGTCACATCACAGTATGTCTGAAATCCACCCGAAGCCAACTATTAATGCTTGCCTGTGTTTTTCATTTATGTATATTGCTAGTGTGAGCCAATCCATATAAATTTGCAAAGGCTAGAAACTCTTTGCCATTGGGAAATAAGGACAGTTCTGAAATGGAAAGAACACAGCCCAGTCTTTCTTTTTCATTCATTACCTTGGTGGAGTTCCTGCATTTGGCTTCTCAGTGTTCTGCATAAACCATCACCTACTGTCTCCTCCCTCAATCACTTTTCCAATAAGTTCCAAGCACAATGTCAGCTCCATTACACTTGAGAGAGTAATGGTTAAAGCACACACACCCTACATCTGCTAAATAACAGGAAGCAAAAAACAGCAAAGGCAAAAGAAATCAGGGAAAAGGTAAGCCAGTGCTGGCAAAACATTATGGTTTCCTAATGACAAGGGGAAAGAACAAGACATAACCCCTATATAGTCTGAATTAAATTATTTTTCAAGAATAACTGAAGGACTCCCAAGCTTATCACAATAACGGTTAAAGATTAAAGGATCAACTGATAGAAATCTAACTTCATTAAGAGACATATTCGATTGTAAACTGAAACTGAAAAATGTAGAGGGGGACAGAAGAAAATAAAAAATCTGTTTCTGAAGCCATTGTATTGCACATGTAAAACAAAACGTGGTATGTACCACTTTATATCAGAAAAGTGACTGTCACTTTAGATACTGTCCTGATTTGAGCTCAGTGACTTAAAGTTTTTGTATTAGTTTTTACTTGTATAAGTAATACATGAACACATTTGCTTCTTAAACATTTAAATATTACAAGTAACACTGGGAGTCTTTGATTACTTCCACCCTACCACCTTGCCCCCAGGTAATTGCTGTCTGATTTGTCTCTTTTCTAACCTCGTGTATACACTGTGTGTGTGTGTGTGTGTGTGTGTATACACATACACACAGATATAGACACTATGTATGTATAACATGAAAGGTATTTCATATTATATATGCTCTGCAGCTTTGTTTTTTCACTCAATAATATGTCTTAGAGCTCTATCCACGTTAATACCTATACATATGGCTCATTCCTTTTAATGGCTTCATAATGTTTCATACTATGAAAATACCTCCTTTTATTTTCTGTTCTCCTATGAATGGATCTTTAGGTTGTCTCCAATTTTTCACCATTATAAACATTACTCTGAAGAGTGTACTTTTATAAACCTCCTTGAGAATTTTATACAAACATTTCTTTAGAAGAAGCCTTGTTAGACAGCGTACATTGTTAGAAAATGTACATTGAGGCAGAGGTGGGGAAGGCTGTTTTCTTTAAATTGAAGTACAGCTGATTTACAATATTATGTTAGTTTCAGGTGTATAGCATAGTTATTCAGTATTTTTGCAGATTATATTCCATTATAGGTTATTACAAGATAATGGGTATAATTCCCTGTGCTATACAGCAGATCCTTGTTGATTATCTATTTTATGTATAGTAGTTTGTATCTATTAATTCCATACCCCAAATTTGTCTCCCTTCCCTTCCCTCTCCCCTTCGGTAGCAACAAGTTTGTTTTCTATATCTGTGAGTCTGTTTCTGTTTTGTATATCCTTCATTTGTATAATTTTTTAGATTCCACATATAAGTGATGTCACATAGTATTTATCTTTCTCTGACTTATTTCACTAAGTACAGCAATCTCTACATCCATCCACATTGCTGCAAATGGCAGTATTTCATTCTTTTTTATGGCTGAGTAATATTCCATCTTCTTTATCCAATCCTCTGTTGAGGGATGGGTTGCTTCCATGTCTTGGCTATTGTAAATAATGCTGCTATGAATATTGGGGTGCACTTATCTTTTCAAATTAGTGTTTTCATTTTTTCTGGATATATACCCAGGAGTGGGATTACTGGACATATGGTAGTTATATTTTTAGTTTTTTAAGGAATCTCTATACTGTTCTCCATGGTGGCTGCACCAATTTACATTCCCACCAACAGTATACAAGGGTTTCCTATTTTTGTTTTTAATATGCATGTTCATCAAAGTGGCTGTATCAATTTATTGCTCCACCCATTGTTATAAAAGGGTGTTTATTATCATTTTCCTGTTGTTGGATTTTCTTGTTGTTGCTTTAATTTGCATTTCCCTAATAGTCAGTGAGATTGAGCATAATTTCATAGGTACGATGGTCATTTTTAGATCTTCTAGGACTTGCCTGCTTAGGTCCTTTGTCTATTCACTAATCTGTTGTGTTACTTGTAATTTTCTTGTGGATTCATAGGAGTTTATTTTACATTCTGAACATTAATCCTTTGTCTGCTGTTAGATTGCAAATATTTTTTCACAGTCTATTGCTTATTTTAGAACTTTTTGTGGTATCTTTTTCTATACAGAAATTTTAAAATACGATGTAATCAAAATGATTATCCTTGTCCATTACTGCTTTTGCTTTTATTATCTTTTAAAAGAAGGCCTTCTTTACCCCCAGGGACATAACCACATTATGCTAAATTTTCTCTTAGTTTGTTACAAGATTTTTTAAGAATATGTGGTTCCATTTCTGAACTCTTTGTTCTCGCTCCAATGATCTGTTTGTTTTTCCTTTTTCATTAGCCACATTGCTTAATTACTTAGAAGCTGTCCACACTACAGGGTTTAACAGTGGGAAAGACAATATGGGTCAGATCATCCTTTGTGTCTTTGTTCTCTGGACCTCAGGGAATCATTGACAAAGTGAGAGGCTTGTCTCTTGCCACTACAGAGAGTTAAAAGTTGCTAGACTCCTGGAACCTAATCTGTCCTGCTCTCATTTTAGCTTTAACAGGAAGAGTGACCCATCAAGGGGGGCTATGAGCTATTGGTACCTGGGTTAGAACTTTGAATGCATTTCTCCAGAAAAGCACTGTTGTGTATGGTGTTTAGGATAGATAGCATTTTTGTTGTTGTTTTTGTTTTTCTACTATAGAGCATTTATTTAGTACAATAGCACTCTTTGTTAAAGATAGATTGTTGATCCTACATTAAATACACATTCTCACATTCTGGTATAAGTAGATTTTTATGAGTGGCCTAACAATCCAAACTTCCAGCACAACAGCACTCTGAGAAAATAAGTTCAAGTTGCAAAAACAGATGTGAACCTTTGGGTATAATTCTTTGCACAAAAATCCACTTATAACATTCCTAAGATATAAGCACAAGTAGAGATTGTGTATTATAAAGGCAAAATCAGTAGAAATAGTCCCTGCCTCTATAAATCTTTTTACTTTACAGTTGGCAAAAGATAAAATAATAAAGCAAAAAAATTTTAATGCACCAGAATTTTTATCCTAAAAGTGAGTACCTTAAAAAATGGAGTAGAATCACTACCACTTAGGGGCCCTCACTTCC